TGTTCCAGGTGCTTTTTACACTCTTCCAGGGAATTGAAAATTTTTTCTATTTAGAGAATTTTGTAAAGACCTAAATAATTGGAAATCTGAAGGTTCAGTGTCTGGTGAATACGGTGGATGAATGAGAACTTCCCAGCCAAGCTGTAACAGTTTTTGCCTGGTCATCAAAGAAACGTGCAGTCTTGCATTAGCCTGATGGAAGATTATGCATTTTCTGTTGACTAATTCTCTACGCTTTTCGTCAAGAGCCGCTTTCAGTTGGTGTAATTGGGAGCAGTACTTGTTGGAGTTAATTGTTCGGTTTTCCGAAAGGAGCTCGTAATAGAGGACTTCCTTCCAATCCTACCATATACACAATATCACCTTATTTGCATGAAGACCGACCAGCCTTTATTGTGGTTGGTGGTGGTTTATTTCACTTGCCCCATGATGTCTTCTGTTCCACATTTATTGCACAGTATCCACTTTCCATCACCCGTCACAATTTGTTTTAAAAATCGGACGTTTTCATTATGTTTAACTAGAGAATCGCATGCGGACATATGGTCAAGAAGGTTTTTTTCATTTAACTTATGTGGAACCCAAACATCAAAGTGAATAACATAACGAAGCTGGTGCAAATGATTTTCAACGCTTGATTTAGATATTTTGAGTATGTTGGCTATCTCCTGCCTGGTATAACGTTGATTGTTCTCAATTAATGTCTCGATTGCTATCAACTTCAACTGGTCAACCTGACTGTGGAGCATTGTCCAATGAGGAATCTCCAGCACGAAACTTCACAAACTACCTTTGACAGGTTCAGTCAGTCACAACACCTTCTCCATACGCTGCACAAATCTTCTTTTGCGTTTCAGTTGTGTTTTTACCTTTCTTGAAATAAAGCATAATAGGCCGAAAATGTTTTCTTCCATCTTCAATATTAAAATGGTTACACAAAAATTAACCAATTTTTATGTCTTTTTTTAAATGCATGCTGATATGACAGCTGTCACATATAATCTAACAAAATTGTTTCGAATGAAGTTAAAAACTAAGTGCTACTAGAGCCATCTTATGGAAAAAAACGAACGAACGTTTTGGCCAACCCAATACTTTAGAGTATATGTTGATAAATTACTTAAAAGGAAGAACACTCCCTGTCCATTGTTCTTTAAAAAAAAAAAAAAAAATCCTGGTTATTGAGAATTATTCTTCTATGTAAACTTAAAATCAGGCTTTCAAGTTCCACTAAAATTTCAGTGGGATTTTAATTGATTTATATTGGCTTTACATATTAATTTGAAAAGTAAATTTTTATATAGCATTGTATCAATTTAAATATGGCATATTCTTCTAGTCAGTTATTTTTGACTTTAGGCAAATTCTTATAAATTTTTCTCCTCTGTGGGACGCACTCCTTTCTGTTGTTGTTAAAGTTTATTTCCAGGTATTTAATACCCTTTCTTAGTAACAGGGATTTTTGTCCCACAAAGTACTATTTAAAATTTTTCTCATGAAATTAATATCATTGGGAACATTGGAGAAGTATGTAATACAACCAGTTTATTACAAGCATTTATTTTGGAATATTTCCTTCTAGAAATATTTGTATGATCAGCAAATAAAATCAGAAATGTACCAGATTGTCCATATGTGCAATTTGGTTATCAGTGATGTATAGTATTTGTATTTGCTAAAAATAAATCCACTGAACTTGTCTTAAATTGAGTGCTCTTTAATAAGTATTTGTCCTTTCACTTCTCCAGTTACAAAGTCATAATAGTATAAATATCTGAAATGTGCAATGTAGGAAAATGGAGGTTCTCTGTATCTGCCCCTCCCCTGCCTCTGAGAACCCTAACTACTTTTAACAATTTGGTGTTTATTTTTCCAGACAGTATTGACGCCATCCTAGATGTAACATTTCTTTCCCCACTTGCGGTATTTTCCCAACTTGCAACATTTTATCCCACGTCATTAGAAATTGATGTACTTTTGTGTGTGTGGCTACAAGGTATTTTCCACAGTATTTTCTTGAACAGATGTTCAAATTTAACTGTTCATCTATTGGGTTTTTATTTTTGCTGTTTACAAACATTTTGAAATGAACACTTTTACATAGGTAACAGCCCCTTGTTTTTGAGTATTTCTGTAGATACATTCCTAGAAGTATATTTGCTTGGTCAAAGGATATGCATATTTACATTTTTAACTGCCCTTCAAAAAGGTTATACTCTTCCAAGCCTGTACTAACACTGTGTGTGACTGCTTCCCCACACACTCTCACCAACACTGGGCATTTTTAATCTTATGATTACCTCTCTTTCCC